AATACAAGTACTATACTCTTTGGTTTTTTCGGTAAAGTCACATAGGTAGGAAAAAATAATAGATCACGACTTTTCGATCGCAACAACAAGCGACCGTCTTCAGGTGAGAGAAGACGGAAAATTTCTTGCTGTGATTTTCACACCTGATGATGATTGCTTGTGTTGCAGTCGAAACGTCGTGAGAATTTAATTCTAGATTTGAAGCTTTCGTGACTGCAAGGATCCATACTCTTTGGTTCTATCCGGTAAAGTCACGTAGGTAAAAAAATAAAATAACAAAAATCACGACGATGAAGGCTGTGTCGTGGCCGAAACGTCGTGATTTTTGTTGTTTTATTTTTTTACCTAAGTGACTTTACCGAATAGAACCAAAGAGTATGAGAATATAATTGTTTTATATTTTTATTATTTTATTGTTTCCCTTCTACGTGGTGACTTTACCGAAAGAACCAAGAATATGAATCCCTGCAGTCACGAAAAGCTTTAAATCAAAATTTAAACGTTTACAATTAAAGAACGTAAAAAAAAAATCACTACTGTACAGGTTCATCCAGGTCACTCGCAACAAAAAATTAACCACGGCGGGAAAGCCGAGGTTCACTGAATGTGGAAGTCTGCAGAGATCTTCTGACAGGCTTGAGGAATTACGTGTATTTATAAAAGTAAATGTAAAGTAAATAACGTGAGACAGCGAGAGGAGGAACAGAGCACGAACAAAGCACGTGGATGACTGAGGCGTGCACGGGAATTGTATGAAAAAAAATTGCATTCATTACAATGGATGGGTATAGAATTTTACACTTCCTCGTGTTGACAAGAATGTGGATTGACTGCAAAATTCCATATCCTACAAAAATGAATAAATATTGGCAACTGTGGTGGTGGGAAGTGGATGTGCAGTCATTGGTGGATCACCATTGGTGGATTCACTCTTCAACACACCGGTGGGCTAAAAGTAGCGAACCATTTTGTCTTTTTGTCAACGTGACACTTTTTTTTTTGCTGATTGGCCGTGTCGGGTGGTGGAGGGTTACGACACATTAGAAATAACGCGCTCTAACCCAAAAACGTTTATTATGAATAATATTGGTTGCGAAAGCCTACGTGTTAAACGGATCATCAATTACTGCAACAACAAAAAATCCAAAGTAAATTTGGTGTTACACTGACTATGGCTAACTTACAGGTTTGAGAATAATATAGGTGTGCCAGTCACGTGTACAAGCAGAGTCACAGCAGAATGTGGAAAAGTGCCACTTTGCAAAGGATAAAATGTGCAAAGGATAAAATGTGCAAAGGATAAAATGTGCCCATTTGATGGATTTCTTTGGGAAAAAATCCTTTGAAAAACTCTTCTACGGGCGTTCTCTGACGTACTGATCTGCGAGAGTTCAATATATATATTATTTATCTCATGGTGAGATGTTGCTAATAAACTTAAAATACATTTCGAGAAAAAAAAACATAACAAGCTACAGGTAAATTAAATAGGTTGTTTGACCTGAGACCTACAAGAAAATTAATAATTAGAGTTGCATTGCGTGGATCCAGAGAATCCAAAACAGCAAATGCGACTCTCTAGAATTACTAGTTTAAGTCAGAGGATTAACATTTCTTATTTGCTAACTTATTGGGGCCGAATGCACGTGTTGGCAAAGGTCCTTTAATGTTCGATTGGCGGTGAAAAAGTGCCGAGTTCTCCATTGCAAAGGGGAAAAACCACCAAAGTAATATCAATCAGCTGTCTTATCCAGATGAGAATCTGGCCCTTGGTTTAAATTCCGGCTGACTTTTCCTGACCTAAACAGACTTCTTGAAATTACAATCTAGGTACATGCAGTAAATGGGGAATATATTCAAAAGTAAGTTATTCTAAGTAAAGAATCTCGTTCAAAAGCACTCTCACCATAAATCTGGAGTCTTCCAGATGGCTCATTTCCTTTAAATGCACTTCAAGTTATAGTAACCAATCTGTCCCTTTGTGAGTGTTGTTGTTGTGTGAAGTTTGCGTGTGTGTTTTTGTGCATGACAATATTGCATTGAAATTCATGCACAACTGTCCCCATGTTCTTAGTTTTTTCGGTAAAGTCACGTTGAAGAGAAACAACAAAATAACAAAATATATATAAAACAATAAAAATTCTCACGACGTTTCGACCATAACTCAAACGGTCATCATCTGATGATGACCGTTTGAGTTATGGTCGAAACGTCGGTCATCATCAGATGATGACCGTTTGAGTTATGGTCGAAACGTCGTGAGAATTTTTATTGTTTTATATATATTTTGTTATTTTGTTGTTTCTCTTCAACGTGACTTTACCGAAAAAACTAAGAATATGAATTACTGCAGTCACGAAAGCTTTAAATCAAAATTTGTCCCCATGTTCTCAAGATTGAAATTGCTATCACGTCCACCGAGTCCTCAATTTACAGGACAAAGCAAATGCCAACATAATAAGTACCTGGCTCTGTGCTGGGGAGCAGTCATTGCAAAATAATTTATTTGTTGATACGAAGAAAATGTGGTGTGATATTTTAAGTTTTGTATTCTTGGAATAAAGACAATGTTTTGAATTACAAAGCCATTTCCCAAACATACATTTGGAATTCTAGATTTGAAGCTTTCGTGACTGCAAGGATTCATACTCTTTGGTTTTTTCGGTAAAGTCACTAAGGGAAAAAATCATTAAATAAATGAAAACTACATTTTTATTTAGTTTTCATTTATTTTATGTATTTTTTACCTACGTGACTTTACCGAAAAAAACAAAGAGTATACATTTGGAAATTATGTAGGGGAAAAGAGAAATGGTCCTTCTCTGACCCAAGAAAAATAATGACCAGTAAAGTTCCCCCAAAACCTCAATACGCATGAGCTGCTAAAACATGTAAAACTATGTCAATGTTGACTAAACTTTCAAAACATTAAATGGCAGAGGCTTCCACTCAGCCATCTCACCATAACGTTGTGATTATCTGAAATGGACCTGGTACCAATTAGTATAGTTTAGTAGGCGTTCATATATACAGACACTGCACGTGTAATTTATGTTTCGTGCACACAGCTTCCTAACCTGTCTTAATCGTGGAACGATCACATAAACCACAGTGCCCCACCAGACTGCAATTTACTGCAGTTCAGTTAACCACTCCAGTTTCGGAAACACTGCACAGTTGAACTTGTGGACCTTTTGGCTGTACCGTGATTGTTACAGAAAGCGCCTCATTCACCCCTCACATTATTTATAGAATGCTGAGTGCATACAAATCTCCACCTGTATCTCTGTGCTACAAATCAGGAAGCCGGACGCTTGGTTTCTTTGTCTTGCATGAGGGGGCCTTCACAGGGAAACTTCTTTTTGTAAAATGCTATCCTTCACCGTCCTGTGATATATTTTCACGTTAAATAATTAGCTATCTATATTTATTTCAAATTAGAAACATGTTTGTGTAAAGCCCAAGTTAGAGATTTTTTTGTTAAACCTTTGTATTACACTTTCTGACAGTCCGTGTAGGTTTCACATAAGGATTGCTCTCACCAATAAGAATGCCTATACCAGTACGGCAATGACGCGTTATTGCCAACATCTGTAACAGGTTATGTGGCTTTTCATATGCCATTATTGTAATGACGTCATTTTCTCACCATAATTGCCAAACAAATTTGTAACAGTAGGTGACTGTGTGCTGTCACCAAGACAACGCTGTGAATTAGTCTGTTGTGCATCTGAGTGAAACTCTTTAAATGAAACATTATGTTTGAACATGTGACAATATCTTATGAAGACAAAGATACTCCATACGCCTCCTCTGCCAAATACTGTGAAGCTGATGTGAAACTGCAATTTTCCTGTACATATATATGTTATGTACAGGAAAGGCAATGGCAGATGAATAGATCCTGGGCCAACAGTGTGTGTGGCCGGGCATTGATGAGGTTATTGCAAGACCCTGCATGTTCTCAGCAAAACCACTTCAAGTGTATATGCAAGGGAGGGGAATTGTGCTGTGTGTGTGTGAAGTTTCTGTTTGCCATGTATGTGCGTGGGGAAGTGACCCAGTGGATAGCACACTGCAGTATGATTCCCACAGGTTTGTGTCCGGGCCATGGATAACACAAATAAGCAAGAGAAATCTGAACCTGTCCAGGATTTCCCTGAAGTGAACTCAGCTTTAAATAAGTACCTGGTACAGCATGTGAATATAAGGACTGGGGAGACAAAGGTGGCCAGGCATGGTGTTAGCCACACCAACTCATGTCTACAATGCTGGTTTCACGAACAGTAATTGCCTCACCAGTCTATATGGTCAAAAGGGGAGATGTTCGCCTTGTTGTGCGTGTGTCTGTATGTATGTGTGGGGGGCGATGACGCAGTGGTTAGCATGCTGCGCGACAAACACGGTGACCAGAGATTGATTCCCGTTCAGGACCAATAACGGTGGCAAATATTTGAACTGGTCCTGGGCCTTTCCCTATGTCGATTCAGCCTCAAATTAGTACCTGGTGTGTAATCATCACCACTCGGGAGACAAAGGTGGCCAGGTTTGGTGCTGGCCATCCACCCCCTCCTTCGTGTGCTGTGCCAGCCTTCATAGGTGCTCAATAACGGAACTTGCCCCAACTGTCTGTTAATGCTATATGGGGGATCGTTGTATTAAGTGCTTATTATAAGCACTTATCTCTTGAGCATAATAGCCATTTTCTACTGTAGGTTGTTTTTTCCACTGATGTCACACCTGACTTGCATCTGATGTCAGCTTCACCCAGAGCCAGATTCAAATGTCTTCGGAGGACAGTGTCACATTTTGGTTTTGGCTAGGCTTGGCAAAATCACCAATGGAGAACCGCACATAACGTCAGGGCCCCACACTGGCGCGGCTTGTACATGCTGGTTGCAAAAGTGGGATTAAAGGCTAACTGTGGGAAATATTACTTTTGTAGCAGATAGGTGAGACGTGTGTGGGTGGGGGAATGGGTGCGTGCATGTAGGCCTGACCGTCATGCTCGCGATGCCACTCCATGGTCTGGTAGTAGCTGTGCATCACCTCCCAGAGCGCCTTGCACAGGTCCGTCATGCAGGGGATGTAGCTGTCCACGGTCACGTGCTGCAAGCAAAGCCCAAAGTGCCGTCAGCGAGGACCAAAATCATGGTAATTACATTTCCAGATTCTCTCAAGACAATACACATCAAAACCGAAAGTCAATTTTGCAAAGGCATCACCCGTGAGAGGTTAATAAAACGAATAATATATTCATATTTAAGAGATTATCTGTATTCACATGGAGTGTAATATCAATCACGCTGAAATGTTATGAATCATTAATACTGAACTGTATAATAAATCAAAGTTAAAATAACTTGTTTTCGAGTCTTTCCCACATTTTATATGTATATTTGAGTTTCCTGGCTCTCGCGATGCTCAGCCCGGCAAAACACTACCAACACGTGTCAGTCTTGCATCTTCGGGCTGCAAAATTCGCTAAGGCACAGAGAGAAGTAAATATTCCCAAGCCCAGTGCTGGGGCTTACAATCCAGCTGGGTGGCACTATGGTTTATAGCGCAGGAAGGTTGGAATTTACTAGCATGGTCGTGATTCAGCCGAGCCTATCATCACTTCAGCGCTCAAAGAAATTGTTCTAACCCTGAGGAAAGTCAACAAGTAATTGTCATCGAGAGAGAATGGCCTCCATCAGAAGTATGGGAATTTTTCCGTACTCACTCTGGGCCGCCAATGGAGATGAGCTGTCCCATTGCTTAGATCAGCATGGAGACACTTAGGGTTGATTTTTTGACATCAAGTCTGAGAGCAGTCCAGTCTGATTGTCATCTCCCCTTCAGCGTGCCACCCCCGCTGCCCCTGGACTTTTATACGTCACAAACCAAAAAGCCTCAGATTGAGTTTGAGGAAACTTAAAACCCATGACTCAACCCAGGGATGTTGTAGACCATGAAGATGAATCCTTGCAGTCACGAAAGCTTTAAATCGAAACTATTTGTATGTCATGATTGGCAGACGTCACAGATGGTATAACTGCACACAGAATGCTGGAGGATGCCACTACACAAACACCATATGCAAATATGCAAATGTTATCACACATGCCCATATTAAAGATGGAAATCACTTGGTGGGTGGCCACGAACCCACATCACAAGAAACCCCATACAGAGCTGAACAAATGAGAGTTGTGGCACTGTGTATCTGCCCTTACTCTTTCAAAAGCACTGTTATAAGTACTGAAAATTATGCAGATGGTGCTAATATATAACTGCTGGATAATAATAATAGGAATGTTTCCTTCTTATAGTTATTGTAGTTCATACCTAGTGTTTAGCGACTATCATTTGTTTTGTTTTTAACACAGGAGGTTAAATCTTATCAAGGTACAAAGGATTTTCAGTGAATTTATTCCAATGCAACAATGAGAAAACAAACAATTTCTCAATACAGTTGAATGAATGCTATAATCATATCAACTTGGTAATTGTTTTACTTCGTTCAACCTCCCCCCATAAAACAAATGTGCAATTAATAATTACATACAATTTGTTTAAAAATTAATTCACCGTACTTTAACGTGTCACACAAGATAATAACATCTTAGACAAACAATGAATTCATTAACTAATGCGCGAATAAACAAATAGGCCCTGAGTGAATTTCACTCAAGCCTGAGGGCTATAAATCAGCTGAGAAGTGGTCTGCATTGGACGCCATCCTATCGTCGCTATCTGGGCCCCCTGCACCACGGCTAGAGCCAGGAAGGAAGCAGACATAATGCTGTCCTGCCCAGCCGCCCCCCTCCATCCGTCCATTGTCCGCACTTCTAAACAGTGGAGTACGAGTCACGGGCGCACCGCTCGCTATCACGCTTACCATCGCGTACACGAAAACTCACACACACACAGGTTATTTTTTGCAGACAGCTTGTGGAAGTGGAGTCACTTGAAAATGAGTGCTCGCAGGATATTGTATGTCTCATGCCAGTGCGGGGTAAGGCCCAATGGCATGCCACAGACAAAGACACGGGTGAATACTAGAACCAAATAATCACCATCACTTTCACAATTTACTTCCGAATTCGGACTTCAATTCACACTAGTCAATGATATCTTACTCATAAACTAACGAGGCGTGGGACTAAGGGCATAACATGGTCATATTCCATGTAACTGCAACTTTATTCAATTAGAGTATGTTTCTATATATTTTTTTAACAGTGTATGCAGGTATATGCTCAAGCAAAAACACCGCCTGCACCGCCTTTTGCTACTGCTCTAGCTGTAGAGGTGCTACTGGTGTAAATATTCTAAAGGATGCCTCAAAGCTATGGCCATCGACTGACACAGCTAAATAAAGTGGCTCGCAGATAAAATAGCTTTGACACCCGGAGTGGAAAGGTGACCGACTTTATTCTTACCATACTACCGATCTGATGCATCAAAGATTTTTTAAGTATGTTAAGGACCAGGTGACCATTTCAAAACATTCCATCCTAACGAAGTAAAATTTATATGAATATATAGAACTAGCCTTTTGCCCGTCCAAGGACGGGTGTATTTCAGTAAATATTCAACTTGCAAGCGAACAGCAGACCGCGACGTGATATTCATTGCATCAATTCGTGTGCAAGTTGTAAGGCCGCGGTGACACAGACTTATTTCATGTAAAGGTTATAATCCCTTGTTCATCATGACGTCCTTTTTACTTTGATGTCTCAACAACAGCGTTACGGAGATCACGTGACGTGATGAGGGTTCTGCCTTTGTAGTGAGGGTTGTCAGTTGACGCCGAGGAGGGGGGAGGAGACACCTCGCCCCCCCCTCCCCCATGTGCAGTGACGTCACCCGCTAATTATTATTAATGGGGGTAGGGTGTCCATTTGGAAGATGTCACCTCTTCATGATTATTAATGAGAGGGGCTGGCCTTACGTGGAGTGACGTCACGCACGGGACACACAGACATTCTTGGCTCATTATAGTATTTTATAGTAGTAAATACATTCATACACTCCAATGGAAGGTCACTCGAATTCAGAACTCAATTAACTTGATAAGAGTTTAAGCATGTATGTCATTTGTCCATGTTTAGTTCTGAATAACGTAAAGCTTGTCTGAGTTGTACAGCCAGTGTTAAGATGCAAACACATTCATGTAGGTATGTTGCCTGTCTCCAACATTCTACAGTAGGGATCCTTTCAAGGTTTGAAAGTGTGTCGCGATACGGGGCATCGGTGACTTGTCTTGAAGAACTCTATGAGTTATCCCGTAAATTAAGTATTGTTCCAAACAAGTTTTAGCAAAACGCCCTCATTCATTTTGGAAAGGTTAGTAGGGGAAAAAAATTAGTCTGCTTGTTATTTTTTTTCAAAGGTCACTCCTTCGCTCACGCATATGCAGTGCTCCCATGTAGTTACTGCCATCTGTTGGACATCTCACTAATGAGGCCATTTAAAAAAATTGGGAAATTAAGCTTTAGTGATTTAAGTTGGTGACAGCCAACTGGAACAACATTTCACTTCCAATAAAAAGCTGAGCTACTGCACAACACTCGTTGTTGTCCTTCCGCCGCACCTCCGATTAGCACGGATGGCTACATACGGTGCGAGAGAAGTTCAACATACATACAATGTTTCATGAGGTAGATGTTAGTCGTTAAAAAAAATGTTAGGCAAACAATGGCCAAAACTGGGCAATCCATTGCGGCTAGCTACTGCCAAGTGAATTTAGAACCACCACGTATGAGCAGGGAGATGATTTTTATTCGTTCAACTTTGAAAAAAAAAGAATCTTGCAAACAATGCTAAGGCAGTTTGCCCCAAATCAATAAGACATCCAGCTACATTTTATTCCAAGGCACAAGTCAAAAGTTCATTTCACTTCCAGAGTACCTATAGTGAGGGAAAAAAGTATTTGATCCCTTGCTGATTTTGTACATTTGCCCACTGACAAAGATGGTAGATTTATTTGAACAGTGAGAGACAGAATAACAACAAAAAAATCCAGAAAGACGCATGTCAAAAATGTTATAAATTGATTTGCATTTTAATGAGGGAAATAAGTATTTGACCCCTCTCAATCAGAAAGATTTCTGGCTCCCAGGTGTCTTTAATACAGGTAACGAGCTGAGATTAGAAGCACACTCTTAAAGGGAGTGCTCCTAATCTCAGCTTGTTACCTGTATAAAAGACACCTGTCCACAGAAGCAATCAATCAATCAGATTCCAAACTCTCCACCATGGCCGAGACCAAAGAGCTCTCCAAGGATGTCAGGGACTAGATTGTAGACCTACACAAGGCTGGAATGGACTACAAGACCATTGCCAAGCAGCTTGGTGATAAGGTGACAACAGTTGGTGCGATTATTCGCAAATGGTAGAAACACAAAAGAACTGTCAATCTCCCTCGGCCAGGGGCTCAATGCAAGATCTCATCTCGTGGAGTTGCAATGATCATGAGAACGGTGAGGAATCAGCCCAGAACTACACGGGAGGATCTTGTCAATGATCTCAAGGCAGCTGGGACCATAGTCACCAAGAAAACAATTGGTAACACACTACACCGTGAAGGACTGAAATCCTGCAGTGCCCGCAAGGTCCCCCTGCTCAAGAAAGCACATATACATGCCCGTCTGAAGTTTGCCAATGAACATCTGAATGATTCAGAAGACAACTGGGTGAAAGTGTTGTGGTCAGAAGAGACCAAAATGGAGCTCTTTGGCATCAACTCAACTCGCCGTGTTTGGAGGAGGAGGAATGCTGCCTATGACCCCAAGAACACCATCCCCACCGTTAAACATGGAGGTGGAAACATTATGCTTTGGGGGTGTTTTTCTGCTAAGGGGACAGGACAACTTCACCGCATCAAAGGGATGGTGGATGGGGCCATGTACCATCAAATCTTGGGTGAAAACCTCCTTCCCTCAGCCAGGGCATTGAAAATGGGTCGTGGATGGGTATTCCAGCATGACAATGACCCAAAACACACGGCCAAGGCAACAAAGGAGTGGCTCAAGAAGAAGCACATTAAGGTCCTGGAGTGGCCTAGCCAGTCTCCAGACCTTAATCCCATAGAAAATCTGTGGAGGGAGCTGAAGGTTCGAGTTGCCAACTGTCAGCCTCGAAACCTTAATGACTTGGAGAAGATCTTCAAAGAGGAATGGGACAAAATCCCTCCTGAGATGTGTGCAAACCTGTTGGCCAACTACAAGAAACGTCTGACCTCTGTGATTGCCAACAAGCATTTTGCCACCAAGTACTAAGTCATGTTTTGCAGAGAGGTCAAATACTTATTTCCCTCATTGAAATGCAAATCAATTTATAACATTTTTGACATGCGTTTTTCTGGATTTTTTTGTTGTTATTCTGTCTCTCACTGTTCAAATAAACCTACCATTAAAATGATAGACTGATCATTTCTTTGTCAGTGGGCAAACATACAAAATCAGCAGGGGATCAAATACTTTTTTCCCTCACTGTATTCAAATAACACACAATATGGATGTGAAATTCAGCCACAAAGAACAATCATCCTGCTCATCCCCGCCGTGTTGGCTTTGGCAGGCTCCGTGCTCACCAACCCATGACTCAAAACACAAAGGACACTGCTGCAGTTCAAAGTGCTTTAACATTACTATAAAATCAAGAAAGAGCAGAGCAGGACCAATCATTAATTCATTAAGAGGCTAACAACAAACAGATGATTGCCTGTTTTCGCATGAGTATTACATTTCGAACAGGGCAGGATTTTAATGTACAATCAATTATACCCCTGAATGTTTTTCAATAGTTTCAACAAAAAGAAAAAAGAAAGAAAACCCTCCTTATTTTCAAAAGGTCTCATGTGCATTAAATACGTAACACACTCAGTGGTAGCATATGGGAACAATTTAAGATAATTAAAAAAGAATACACATCAATAGAAGGCTGCCATTCATTACATCCATTGTTGTAAAGCTTCAAGTTCATTGCATAAACTGAATCCATATGTACCTACCAGCATCTACACTTTTACATACACATGTTTAATATATACATACACATATTATACACAAAGACCCCCTTTGAGCCTAGGTAGCCTACTGGGGAACGTGCTGTTCTCGAGCACCGTACTAAAGTTTGACAAAACACATGTTTGGGCAGTGTGGCCAGCATTTACCTCTATGGCGCTTACGTTAGTCACAACATACCTACAGGGCCCAGATGACCAGTCCTGGCTGTGAACAACAATCATCCCTTCACTCGCCGTACTACTGCTCACGCGGACACGTACCGAGCACAGGTCCTTGTACTGAAGCTTGTGGAAGCGGGTGTCAGCGCCGGAAGCACACAGCTCCACGTAGCCAAGCACCACCTGAAAGGCTGTGTTGTGGATGGCCTGCGTGAAATGCATGTGCATCTGGTCCATGGCAGTCTGTACACGTTCAAAAGCAACGGACACAAAGTCGGTGTTTAAACACCACGGGCCGTACATTCAAACGAGTACATTTTGAATGAACCGGAATTGCCCGTGGACACGTTTGTGCGAGCAGTCGAATCAGCAGACGTGATGCGAGTGTTTTTTGTGTCTTCAAAATTTCACTTATGCATGTGGAAAGGCCTGTGGCCAAATCACCTAGCATGTGCCTCACCTCATTAGATCTCGGTAGCTAAGCAGAGTTGAGACAGAATTTTGCTTGGATGAATGATCACTCCATGCACAGAATAGATGACACAGGGGACTGTGGTGCAGTGAAAACGGCGCACTTAGATTCCTGGATGAATTGTGCTTTATAAATGTGAATTATATTATTAAAATGGCCCAAGAAGTGCATTTTAAACATCTCCATATTCATATTCTTGGTTCTTTAAAAATCTCCACATTCCCCAAATTATTATCACTATGACACGAAAAGGTTCGCACTTACACTAATTAAGATATTGCTGCTTTATATAGGAAAACTAATTGATTTGGTAAAGGTGAAAAAAACCCCTTATTTTTAATGTGTAGGTTCAATACATTGACTTATTGAAATTACTAATATCAATTAAAAAAACGTTATTGTTGATTTGAAGCTTTCGTGACTGCAGAAATCCATACTCTTTGGTTCTTTCGGTAAAGTCACGTAGGTATAAAATAAAAGAAATCACGACGTTTCAGGCGCAACACAACAAGCGTCCATCATCAGGTGGGGAAAGCATAGTCACTAGCCCCGGCCACTTCTTTATGACCCTTGAGCTACACCCATTTCAAACCTTTTAAAACCAGTCTGCCCTCAGCAGCGAAAGAAGTTCAACATATATACACACGAATTCCGTTTTAAAGCAGATGGCATGAAATGCATTGGAACATTTTTAACAGACATTACCATGAGGAGGCAGAAATCGACGTGTGAATTTACAGGTAATGTGGCAAGTGAAGCGCGCATTTATCAGTCCTAATTATTGCGAAGTAAACCAATGCAATTACGAGACAGTTCTAATGTGCCTGCACATCAAGCTAACCTGTGTCTTGTCCAGCAGTCGGTACGCCGTCTGCACCTTGGTATAGTGCACGACATCGAACAGCTTGCATGTCTTGGCCAATGCCACGTCCAGCTGTTCCTGTATGCAAGCAACACAATCACGTGGATTCAGTCGTCGCCTGCATTCAGGCTCATACACGACCTCTACACATTTGCCGCATATGAGAGGAAAATGCTGGTTTTACAAAGAGAAGTGACAATGAAACAGTTTGACTGATGAACTGTATTACGGCTTGTCTGTGGTGCCGTCTTGTCTACTGTACCGTTGTTTGGCCTGTCTCTCGAATGTTCTTCCTGCATGTTTGTTTGACTGTGTGGCTCTATCTGTTCTCACCATCTGCTTATTTCCCAGAGTGGGCCATCTTTGTCACTGCATTCTTGTTTGGAATCGTGGTGGTTATTGTCTCGCTGTCTGTTTATATTATTTGGCTGAGCATCTGCCATTGCCTCACTTTCGGCTTCTTTGGTTGCACAGCTACCTCACTTGTTTCATTACAAGTCCATATTGTTGAGGATGCAATGAGATCCTTGGAGGTTTTTCACTGAAAAATGCGCTACTCACCTCCAAAAATAATGGTATCTAGGAAATGGCGTGACCAACACTCTCGAAGGGTTGCTGTGAATAGCCGCAATTCTCACCTGAACCATTTTTAACCCTTTTGGATCGAGTCCAAAAGCAGCCGCTGCATTTCAGCCACGTGATAATGGGGCCATACGGTCTGGGAGTGAGTTGAAGAGGCATGAACCGTGTGTCGTGAGCTGTCTGCAGGGCCCCACACAGCTGCACTTCTGAGTGTAAACTCCATTACCTCAATTTGCTCCAAGGTGTCCTGAAGCTTTGAATTGAGTTCACTGAAATAGAATTTTAATTAAAAATAAATCACAGTTAATAAGCATGAACTTTTTTTATTTAAAGCTTTCGTGACTGCAGGGATTCATATTCTTGGTTCTTTCGGTAAAGTCACGTAGAAGGGAAACAATAAAATAATAAAAATATAAAACAATAAAATTATTAAATTGTTTCTCTTCTACGTGACTTTACCGAAAGAACCAGGAATAAGCATTAATTTACCAAAATCAGTTTGCATGATAATTAAAGCATTCGGATGGGATGAGCAATTGTAAATCCAGCCGTAAATAAAGTATGGGGTTACCATGGCATAAAAAAATGTCACTGATATCATTGTAATAATAATGGCATTTAATTTCAGTGTTAATCTTTAATGGCAATGACAATAGACAACCACTTTGACGACTATTCTCCTGCTGCTACCAAAAATAACAATTGCTCATGCATTAAACATGAAATATACTGTATTAAATCACATTCTAGGACATAAATTACCCACGAATAAAATGTAGTGACATGCATAATAAACGGAAATGTTCTACATAGTTCACTCATTGTTTATCACATATACATAGGGATTCAACAGAAAGATATATTGTAGGCTATCGCAGCAATGAGTGTCAGATTGCAAACATCGCCACTAGGGAGGCAAAGGCGGTCAGACGTGGTACTGGCCACCCACCCCCGTCGGTATCAGTTCTACCTTCAAAGGTGCTCGCGAACAGCACTCGCCCCTGAAGTCTGTTAAGGCTACAACAGGGATCTTTGACTTTGTGATTGATAAACCCATCTGGTGTGGTGCTGCACATATTTGCCTACTCGCCACAAAGAATCGATTGCAATCCTCACTTGAATGGTTTATCTTGCTTGGTTGCATGCAAACTCACTGATGGTTGGCAGCCTACAAAAGCTCACAATGGTGGGGATACAGCACCCCCTGCTGGGCATATGGGGAACTAGTTTAACAGACGAATACAGTCCTTTTTAATAAGGGACTCACAGCTACTCGTATGAATTGCGAGGTGCAAAACAGAACTTCAATGTTTTTTTTAATATTATTAGTTGTGGCTCATTCAAACTACAGATGTTACACCCAACATCGTATATCCTGGTTTGGGGCTTTGCCAACACCTCTGGGAGTTTGAATACAGGAGTTCCAAGTGATATATGGAGACTTCCGACGAATATAGCCTTTCCAGCAAAGAACTGCACAGCTCATTAAGGGTCCAGAACAACCACAGTTGAGACATAGGATTAAGTACATGCATGCGACTTGACCCGGTGTTAATGCAATCTTGGAATTAATTAACATGTTTACATTAACATGTTGCACACATTTAAGAAAACCACTTCTTAGTCACCTTAAAACATAAGCTTTCACAGCTCTTACAATGATCCATATTTGTTTTTGGGTTAGGTCATGTCATACTTTCATGTCACTTCTAAGTCATGTTTAAAATTGCAACAACAACAAAACTAATACAAAAGCAGCTCTCAAAACAAAACCTGCATAAAAAGGTATGTCAACTGACAATGACATCTTGTTTATGTTGTGCCCAACATTTCACAGTAGGTGCAACCAAACTGGAAATAACATTCATCAATGACTTAGATCTGTCTTTAAAAAAAAATTACTTCAACATGGCTTGGACAACACTATAACCAATAGAAATACGTAAAAATTGCAGCTTCCAAACAAGAGGGCTTCCACACTGGACTTAACAAAACAGAATGTTTTTTTGCATGGACCGTTTTTTTTAGGCCCATCAATATATTTTTCAAAAAAATCTACCACTTTCTTCAATAAGCTATTGTCAAATAAATGTCAAACTACACTCTCAGAGGATATGTCATTTACTTTAAATAATCAGTGCACTTAATGTATGCAAAGGTCACCTAAACTTGAGTTAAGGGAATAAATTGGTAAGGCTACCAAGCATAAAATATTTGGTAAGAAAATAAGCTACAAATGCATTGTATTGTTTCTGCATTGTTGAAGGTCATTGAACAAAATTGGAAACAGCATTCCTGAGACATTAATCATTTCAGTTTCACAACTCTCTAAGCGAGCCGGTCAATGCCACCTAGCTTTCACAATGACTTCTGCACAGATTGAGTTGAACGCAAGTCGATAGAGGCTGCGTAAGGTAATGGAAAGTCCATCTCAGCCACGACAATCACACGTGGGGAATTGAATTATGACAAACTGTTTTCATAAGAAAATGCTGTAAGCTATACGGGAACAAGATACGCAACTGCAAAATAGTATTGGGCAAAAAAGTACTCCACCCAAAATTTCACATTATTTTAAAGCAGCCACTGGTTTCCAGGATTTTCCCACCAACCTCACTGTGGATGTGACTTGTTTTACTTTGCATATTAGCCAGATACATGAACATTATCCCCCCTTGGCCCACCAAGCCACTTAATGATTTTAAATTTCAACAACAAAAGTACCCAGTATATTCTGGAAAAAGAATGTCATGCAAACGGATACTAAAACACCACAAACGGGCTTGCAAAACAACATGTGTTGTCCTGATGTAACCACAACCCAAGCGTATATATTGTAGCCAGATTAAAAACGATATATTAACACCTGCTGGTTTGTTAAAGGGATTTTGACACTAATCTCTTATAGCTCAGCCTCAGCTTGAAGCATTCAATAAATAAAGGGCACATTATACGTCCAGTGATCACAGATGTTGTAAATGTTTCGTAAAGTAACTAATCCTACCAACATATACTTTGTTGGAAGACACCACCGACCTGATGCAAGAGTAGTGGCTGAATGAACTGACAGCATTCTGGCACTCGAGGCAGAGCTGAATGGCAGCAGGGAAATCTTCTTCCTGCACAAACACAGCAGAGAAAACACTCGGACAGGGAATCCCTTAGCTCACAGCAGCCACAAAAGTCAGTCGGCACTCCCCCAAACTCCACCACCAAGTCTGCAGATGCCTGCAAATAGCTAGACTTGGAGGGTGGGGTAAGGGGAGAATTATGAGTATGATATGCCTCCTGATTCTCCACATCATCAGAAATTATCAATGCACTGCTGGATGAAGGCCTCCCCATGATGTCACCATCCCAAACAATCTCACGATGCCAAAATCCAACTCACTCCTCAGTAATCATCCTCTCTCGTGTACAGATATGTAAAAAAAGAGGTAAAAACCCCACAAAAATCAGCGAAAACCATAAACTTATTCTCGGACACATAATCCAATGCCACAGTGGTTACTGGAACAGTGCAGTACTAAACTGGGAATGACTGGCACATGAAGACACTGCTAATGGGTCAGCATTGCATTGCAAACTGTTAAAGTTTTGTTCTTAATGACTAATAAAAAAAATTAGGTGTACTCCAAAATATCCCGTTATCTCCAGGACACGATATAGGCCCACGTTCTATCAAGGACACACACAGTTGAGCAACATTACCACGTTCTCCACTAAGTGGTGGTGATGTCACGACAGTACCTTTATAAGGCAATGTATAATTTGAGACCATGGGAAGGAGCGAAGAAAGTCATGGGGCCACACCGAGACGTAATGGGTTAATAGATAAGGGTGAGAGGCAGGCAAAGACTCCTACCTTCGCACTATAAACTTGGTTTATTTTTCTGAACATACATGCATGCTTAGTGTGAACAAACGTGCCTTTTTTGCATGAATAAACACGTGACAAAAATGCAATGACTTAACCAGTCTTGGAGATTAAAAGCACTCACCTCTAGCATCTCACTCAGTCGGACATCTGTCCTTTGCTGCAACACAACACAGCAGGTACAATCTATCAATACATATGCATCGCAGCCTGGTGTAATAAGACAAAACTGTACCCTTGTAGATGAACACAGTTAGTTTTAAATGTCAATGCCAATTTTACACACCAGCGTCTTGATGGTGCGCAAGGACTTCAGTAGACCGATGAGGAGCTGCCGCTTGCGCTGGTTGGCGAGCAGGCCAAGGCTGGCAGCCGTGAAGCCTTGCTGGGCAACCCCCAGCTGCCTGCATGCACCAGGAAATGTGAGCAACACTCCTGAGGGTTCTCATAGGCCAGCATTGCCATGAGCTAGGCACCTGGGAAACATGTGCCCTCACGTCAGCAGTTAACGGTGCTCATTCAACGAATCGTATTTATGAGCATGTAAAACACAAACACAAAACCGTAATTCTTCTTGGCTCAGTATGTCCAACCACGGACAAATGTTTTGTGAACGAATGAGTCCCATGATTGCATTGCTCAGCGTATTTTGATCACACCACAAAAGATCCACGACACGTAAATTAATGTCTTTTTATAGTGCGGTCACCATAAAATCAGTACAAAAACATTATTCAGTATATCTTTTTTGAAAGCATGAAAAGAAAGAAGCATCTAAGGGAAGGGTATTACAATGAGGGGCATTTTATATGTATGGAAGACTTATGAATACAATTACAACACAAAACAAATAATACATATACAGTGAGGGAAAAAAGAATTTGATCCCCTGCTGATTTTGTACGTTTGCACACTGCCAAAGAAATGATCAGTCTATAATTTTAATGGTAGGTTTATTTGAACAGTAAGAGACAGAATTACAACAAAATCCAGAAAAACGCATGTCAAAAATGTTATAAATTGATTTGCATTTTAATGAGGGAAATAAGTCTTTGACCACTCTGCAAAACATGACTTAGTACTTGGTGGCAAAACCCTTGTTGGCAATCATAAAGGTCAGACGTTTCTTGTAGTTGGCCACCAGGTTTGCACACATCTCAGGAAGGATTTTGTCCCACTCCTCTTTGCAGATCTTCTCCAAGTCATTAAGGTTTCGAGGCTGACGTTTGGCAACTTAAACCTTCAGCTCCCTCCACAGATTTTCTATGGGATTAAGGTCTGGAGACTGGCTAGGCCACTCCAGGACCTTAATGTGCTTCTTCTTGAGCCACTCCTTTGTTGCCTTGGCCGTGTGTTTTGGGTCATTGTCATGCTGGAATACCCATCCACGACCCATTTTCAATGCCCTGGCTGAGGGAAGGAGGTTCTCACCCAAGATTTGACGGTACATGGCCCCGTCCATTGTCCCTTTGATGCGGTGAAGTTGTCCTGTCCCCTTAGCAGAAAAACACCCCCAAAGCATGTTTCCACCTCCATGTTTGACGGTGGGGATGGTGTTCTTGGGGTCATAGGCAGCATTCCTCCTCCAAACACGGCGAGTTGAGTTGATGCCAAAGAGCTCCATTTTGGTCTCATCTGACCACAACACTTTCACCCAGTTGTCCTCCGAATCATTCAGATGTTCATTGGCAAACTTCAGACGGGCATGTATATGTGCTTTCTTGAGGAGGGGGACCTTGCGGGCGCTGCAGGATTTCAGTCCTTCATGGCGTAGTGTGTTACCAATTGTTTTCTTGGGGACTATGGTCCCAGCTGCCTTGAGATCATTGACAAGATCCTCCCGTGTAGTTCTGAGCTGATTCCTCACCGTTCTCATGATCATTGCAACTCCACGAAGTGAGATCTTGCATGGAGCCCCAGGCCAAGGGAGATTGATAGTTCTTTTGTTTTTCTTCCATTTGCGAATAATCGCACCAACTGTTGTCACCTTCTCACCATGCTGCTTGGCAATGGTCTTGTAACCCATTCCAGCCTTGTGTAGGTCTACAATCTTGTCCCTGACATCCTTGGAGAGTTCTTTGGTCTTGGCCATGGTGGAGAGTTTGGTATCTGATTGATTGATTGCTTCTGTGGACAGGTGTCTTGTATACAGGTAACAAGCTGAGATTAGGAGCACTCCCTTTAAGAGTGTGCTCCTAAACTCAGCTCGTTACCTGTATAAAAGACACCTGGGAGCCAGAAATCTTTCTGATTGAGGGGGTCAAATACTTATTTCCCTCATTAAAATGCAAATCAATTCATAACATTTTTGACATGCGTTTTTCTGGATTTTGTTGTTGTTATTCTGTCTCTCACTGTTCAAATAAACCTACCATTAAAATGATAGACTGATAATTTCTTTGTCAGTGGGCAAACATACAAAATCAGCAAGGGATCAAATACTTTTTTCACTCACTGTGTGCAAGTGGATAGAGTGCATGTGTGTCTGTTACAATTAATTATATACATGGCTAACTGGTGCCTTCTGGATTGAAAAGGAACAATCAAAAAGTTATCGCAGCATTTGGGCATCAATTGAAGGAATTATCTCTTATCGGAGTGAAATGTAGCAAAACATCTAGCAAGACATAACATTGCACATAAATAGCATCTTAATGTGTGAAAACATTCTTAGATGTGCCTCATCAAGGTGTTTGGCCCATAACAGCAATGCAAAATGCAAGTTCTGACCCGCATAGTGGCATAATGGTGGTGGAGATTTGCTCTGGTCAAATGCTGGCCCAACATTTTACAAATAACATGAAGTGCTGAAAGTATTGTTATATATATACCACTTAAAACAGTTAATGAAGGCAGACTGGGATCAGTGTTAAGGTAGAAAAAGAGGGGCAGACAAGAGCAGGTTAGAGTGCTCTTGAAAATGTATATTTCTTAGAATACTGACACCAATGAAAACAACATATAAACTTGCCAAATTAAGAAATAATTAAATAAGTTTATACTACCAGCCATGACATATGGATGAGAAACTTGAACAATGACAACGAAAATTCAGCAAGTCAAAAAGTGCCAAAAAAAACACACACACAGATGTATAATTGGAATTTCATTGTGAGAGGAAAAACAGATTAGAGAATATACACAGATTAGAGACATCCTATTAGCAGTTACAAATGTATGGGGGCCTGCTCGTCGCAAGGGATGCTGGCCAGTGATCAGCACGAATGACGGATTGGCAAGTAAAGGAGAGAACACACTCTAAAGGATCGCTTCGCTACGTACAGTGCGAAAGAAGTTCAACATGCATGCACGCACTGTGGGGATGGAGCGATCAAATCCACTTATGTGCAAAATATTGCGAGACTGAGAAGGACACCGTTTTTTTTTCATGCTAACAACAATACTCCACTTTGTATGTTTTGATGTATGTACTTACGATGGAGATGCGTTACGACGACCCCATGGTAAGTCAAAAATATCGTAAGTCGAAGATGGCCTCGCTTACCCAGGAGTCTTAAATATTGGTGATAATTTAGCAAAACAGAGCAATGTACAGTACCGTACTGGAAAACTATATACTGCATGTATTTATTAATTACAATACTGTATTGCACGGTAAAATGTAAAGTAAAAATAAAAACAAGGTAAATTCTTAGCCTACTGATATGAACTGCAATTTAATAGAAAGGCGGGCGATGCGTACATCCCGGCAGCATCCCTACAGGATCGTAGCCTCGTATGCTGCTGCGTTTGCCTGCCACGCGAAATTTAAAACATTTTACAATTTGTTGTATCGCTATCGCCATCGTAAGATCGAAATATCGTAAGTCGGACCATCGTAACTCGGGGACTACCTGTATGTCTAATTTCTTGTGCACTGCATCTATGGTTAAATGTGATTGGAGTAAACACTCCTGACAGCCTTATGCAATGTAAGCAGTGGAGCGGTTTTTTTATTTGATTATATTATAAAGTCACCACGTTCATATCACTCCAAAGGAGTATATCAAGTCGGTAGTAATTGAAAGTACAATTTCAGTGCACTGGGCAAGCTACAGGTGTACACACAATGCACATACATGTGTAGAGGAGTGAAATATGCAGTGCGCACAATATTGACCGAGGGCAACTGGGGGCAAACAGGCGCGCGCGTTGCAACATGAGGTTTGCAGAGACAAACCGCCAGTTACTAAGGGGAGAAGCGGGTTCAACTGAGGTCGAACAGGTACTACGCTGTGACAAGGGTTGGCGCCTCGGAGATGGGGATGGATGTGTGATGATAAGAGATTCATGGGGCAACTGGCGCAGGCCTGGCGGAGGCTTAAGGGGAGGCGCGTGAAGGCTCGTGATGAGCAGGGAGTTATAAGCGGGAGTGGGCGTGAGAGTCGGGAGTTGTTGCCGGGAACCAAGAGTGAAGACATCTGGCCGCTGCCGCTCCAGCCGTCAACGGGATCTCAACCCTAAGGTCGTCGCCGGGCGGGAGTTGGCTGAACCCCCCGCACGGGACAGACAGGTGAGCGGGTCTGAGTCGCTGGGTGCTAAGACGCTGTGTGTAGAGTCGCTGGGTGCTAAGACTCTGTGTGCGGAGTCGCTGAGTGCGGAGACGCTGTGTGTAGAGTCGCTGGGTGTGAAGACGCTGTGTAGAGTCGCTGAGTGCGAAGACGCTGTGTGTAGAGTCGCTGTGTGCGGAGTCGCTGGGTGGAAAGACGCTGTGTGTAGAGTCGCTGGGTGCGGAGTCGCTGGGTGCAAAGACGCTGTGTGCGGAGTCGCTGTGTGCGGAGTCGCTGAGTGTGAAGACGCTGTGTGTAGAGTCGCTGAGTGCGAAGATGCTGTGTGTAGAGTCGCTGGGTGCGAAGACGCTGTGTGTAGAGTCGCTGGGCGCGAAGACGCTGTGTGTAGAGTCGCTGAGTGTGTAGATGCTGTGTGTAGAGTCGCTGGGCGCGAAGACGCTGTTTGTAGAGTCGCTGAGTGTGTAGATGCTGTGTGTAGAGTCGCTGGGCGCGAAGACGCTGTGTGTAGAGTCGCTGGGCGCGAAGACGCTGTGTGTAGAGTCGCTGGGCGCGAAGACGCTGTGTGTAGAGTCGCTGAGTGTGTAGATGCTGTGTGTAGAGTCGCTGGGTGCGAAGACGCTGTGTGTAGAGTCGCTGAGTGCGAAGACGCTGTGTGTAGAGTCGCTGAGTGTGAAGATGCTGTGTGTAGAGTCGCTGAGTGTGAAGATGCTGTGTGTAGAGTCGCTGGGCGCGAAGACGCTGTGTGTAGAGTCGCTGAGTGTGAAGATGCTGTGTGTAGAGTCGCTGGGCGCGAAGATGCTGTGTGTAGAGTCGCTGGGCGCGAAGACGCTGTGTGTAGAGTCGCTGAGAGCAAAGCTGCTGAGTGCAGGATAAGTGAGGTGCAGGATAAGAGCGGGGAGAAGTTGAGTATATGTGACCGTACAGATAGTTATAGGTGTGCCTACAACTGGTGCAAGAGTAGGTGAATAAAGTGTAAGCAGGTGACTTGTTACAACGTGTCGGCGAGAGTAATTTTTAAAGAAACTACACATGCCTGAAAAACCAGGTGCGCACACAAAGACCCCCCCCCCCCCCGTTTATGGCCTGCACAGACTGTTGGGGCAAGTGCTGTTAGCGAGCACCTATGAAGGCCGGAACAGCACACAAGTGGGTGGGGGGCCAGCACCACGCTTGGCCGCCTTTGTCTCCCTCGTGGAGATGTTTACACATCGCACCAGGTACTCATTAGTCGACCTAGGGGAGGCACAGGACCGGTTCAGATAATCGTCGCCCATGTTGGCCGTGAGCGGGAATCAAACTCGGGTGATGGGGTAAAGTAGCACAGCGTGCTAACCAGTACACTACAATGCACATACACACATGCTTGGAACTGCCAGATGCACTCGAGATGGCGTAAAGGATTTCGACAAACACAAGTTCCCTAAACATATTGAGCTTTTAAAAATGGACACTTTTTAGCTGAGAACCAGAAATAGGTGGTGGTCAACTCCTTTGATAATTGATTAAGTAAAGAATGCACAGCTGTTCTCATGCTATTGGCAGATGCAGAATATTTCAAACAATTATAAGAATACTGTTATTTTATAACTTGCTGTTTGAAATTCATAACTTACATTTTTAATCTAAAGTCACTCGCATGTCTTATTTATCATCCAAAGATTGCTTACCTGCCAGATGAACAATGTTTTCTGGTGTTGTTCTCTTATCAACTAAACAAATCATGCGATGACTACCTTAGGTAAACATAGATCTCCTTAAGATTAAGGATTTACATCTCAGTGGCCTCTAATTAGCTTCTAAATATATACATTATCAATTTCACAAATGATAACAGCAGTTTAAAGTGTTTCCCCCAAAAAAGTAAAAATAATGTGCTCCTAAGAATCCCTTCAGTAAACGTGTAGTGTCATTTAAAAGACAATACTGTAATATAAATAACACTGTGACACCTATTAACATTTAAAAGAAATATATAATCTATTTAACAGCTAAATAAAGGTAAGATCCACAAGAAGATGACCACTGAGAAGATGGAGCGATGAGATGAGCTGTTGTAGAGGAAGTGGATGGAATATTAAAATACAGGTCTGTAAAAGATGGCGATGGTTTGAGGAGCACTTTATCCAGCAGCGAACAGATCATGGCTAATTGTGATGTATCACTCAAAGTAGAAAACAAATTGATCTGAAATAAATTTAAACTTTGCGACAGAAACATGACAAGCAGGCACAAAGATTATTTCAATATTATGGCTTTGCTGCTTTAAATAACATTAATTAGCTAATTAACTCCAACACAGCACATGAGTAGTACCTTATTACTGTTGATACATTGCACCAAGTACTCGTTTGAAGCTGAGTAATTCTAGAGGGAGTCGAGATTATTTGGCACTGGTGTGTTTATCCAGCAATCATCTGCTTCACCTTCAGCTGGCCTGGGAGTACTAACACACAACTGCAGACATAAATACTACAATACGTACAGGAATTCAAAGAATCCTCGCAGACAAATACAGGCGAGTGCACACACGCGCCGCGTCAATGTGCAGATACAAAACTCGGGCCAACATTTTAGAGCATCGACCGACCGACAATAGACTGGGGCGTTCTGCTCACTTGCCCAAACTGCAGGAAACATCCATTGAGAAGGCCACCACTCAACTCAGATGGGCCCGCTAGTGGGGGCCTTCTTCCCCGTGGATGCATCCAGTGACTTAACTTCATAGGTTCTATTTGAGAGCCGATGTGCACTTTCACGATGTACAGTATACAATATTACAATTCGAGTCATTAAAAGGACAAAGAGGATTGACAAATAGCATAGCATATCCAAATAACAGATAATTACAGAAACGAAATAGAAACGTGCACGAATACAAAAATATGCACACAAGCACGGGTGCGTAGAGACACACACACAAAGATTTGTCCTTTAACCTTATACACTGCTGGACAAGTGCTGTTAGAAAAACACCTTTTTGGTTGGCTAAGTAGGCAACACAATACTCTTTGGTTCTATTGGGTAAAGTCACGTAGGTGAAAATAAAATAACAAAAAATCACGACGTTTCGCCACAACACAAGCGGCCTTCATCAGGTGAAGGGACGAGACTGTCTGGAGGACAGCGCTGGAAATCTAGAATAGGCAACACAATGCCCAGCTCCCTAGAACTGATTTTCAATCGGATTTAATAAGATTCCCTCTTTCGAGATTCAATTAAATGTCACGATTCAGGATCACGATTTGTTGCCACATTTATACTCTGGGTCTCATTTGCGGTTTCTGAACAATGTCTCATTTGTATTATCTGTGATGTTTCGCTTGCTGTTCTCGTTTGTTGTGTATCTGGTCTGTCTTGTTAACTTAAATGACTATATTACAGAAAACATTTAAATATAAGGGAGCTGTGTCAGATTTACTGCTTGTCACTGCATCTCAGACTTGAGGTTTTTTTTTACTTGAAACTCGAATTCAGTTTACACCAGCTCACGGGAATGTCGGGTGACCTTCACGAGTTTTCTAACCAGAACAGCTGTGCTATAGCCACATTAAATTTATTCCTTACAATTTCTCAAAAAAATATGAAAGTGCCTTTGGTAGAATCTCCAGTGAAGGATCAGCCTTTATATCAAAATGTATTGGGAAAAATAAACCTTTCAAACATGATTCAATCATATGTATCTTATTGCTATTTTATATTTTATTGTGAGTGCTTTGAAACAATATGCACCACGCATGATGTCTTGCATAGGTACTCAAGTACAGAAGAGAATACGGTAATGACATACTACTTTAAATAGCATTATACACGTGACAATTTCAGTTTCATATAAATAAGAAATGCAGGCATATCTGGTCTCCTGAATCCTAAAAATGGATACCAGAGGCCATTTACAGGCACTCCAGCCAGGGAATTTATGCACTTAATACAGCCTAAAGCCCACAAAGTTAACAAACATTAAACCAACTATTGGCAAAAAAATCACATCTTCTGCTGCATTTTTTTTTATTATTTTCAAGCAAGGTTGACATCATCTGTGCATTATCTCTGTCCATACGTTATGGGAGGAGGGGGGGGCAATATGAATTTTGTAAAAGACTAAATGGGGGAGGATGAGTAAAAGCCGGCTTACTCTGAATACTGGCTTACTCTCATCCAGCTTCGTGAGCATTTGCTCTATAAAGTTGCGTTGCTATGAGGGACTTACCATTTTGAAAATTGCCCAACTGACCGGTTGTCCAAGACTTGGTAACACTAACCGGAGGACAAAGGACGAATACAAATGTATTTTGCTGCAAAAGCTACCCATAGATTTCTGTATTGCTCATTCCATACTTCAGAAGACAAAGGTGCGTTGAAAAATGTGATGCAGTTGATGCTTAAGCATATTTGTCTAATCTTAATTTGAAGCTTTCGTGACTGCAGGAATCCATACTCTTTGGTTCTTTCGGTAAAGTCACGTAGGTATATTTTATAGTCACGTAGGTATAAAATATACGTAGGTATAAAATATACGTAGGTATATTACGTAGGTATATTTTATACCTACGTGACTTTACCTACGTTACTTTACCGAAATAACCAAATAATATATTAGTCTATGTTCTTCTGTAAAGTGTTGCTACTTTAATATAATGCTGAATAACATCTTCTTCACCACAACAAAGCCTAATTCCAAGCTGTGGTCAGACATATCAATTGCTTTCTTAACTTGGCGGATGTTATTTGTGCTGGATATGAATATATATACAGTATTGTGTAGTACATACACACAGGAAATATACAAGTACTTTGCATAATTGGGCAGCCTATCAAGTAAAAGTGTCTCCATTTTCAAAGGTGAGCAGCAGCGCTCAACTCTCTCTCTCTATCATGTGGGGTGGTATGCAAAAGTATTCCTCTATCCCTTGCACAGCAAGTGTCCTGCAATGAAGTATGAGAAGCTCAATGCACAGACAATGGGGAAATCCAGCAGCCATCAAAGCCAGACTGCTTCCTGAAAGTTGAAATCATTCTTCTGTCAACAGGGAATATCTGGTGATGGAAAACGAGACGTCACTCTGTAAGGGACACGGCAGCTGCACGAGTGACAAAATAACTTGAACACACGTCCAATTTAAAGTCAATAAAACGCAATTTGGCCGTAGGATATAGCTCACCGCCGCCCATCACAGCAGATGGCCTTGGCTTCGTGCAAGCTGGTCTGCAGCTCGGTCACCCTGCTGAGTTCCTGGCACATAAGCACACGGTACAAGTTATTGCCGCATGGGCAAAGGAAGGCCAGATTTTTATTTTTCCCCCCATAGCGTAATTTAAAACAAACCATTATCTACCGCTTTAAATGTGACAGAATATGTATGCTGAACTTCTTTCGCACCATACGTAACGCACTGATTATCATTCACACGCGTGTGTTCAACTGAGTTTTAAATGCACAGCAGGGAGCAGTTGTGGCAACTATGACACACGGCGTCACAGTACTCGTGTGACTGGTCACGTGGTCAATGAATTGGAAGACAAGATGACAAGGTAAGATATTTACAAAAACTTTCCTTATGGTAAAAATTCAGTAAAACCAAAATCCCCCTTAACAGGTTCTTTATTTTTGGTGATGTCTGTCTGTGAGGTCTGTGAGGGGTAATGAATAAAGCAAGTCTATGGTGGGAGATTCTTCAACCATGCCATTCATGGTTATTTTCAGGTCATAAATGTGCAGCCAATTGAAATACCAAATACACTTTAAAAAGCCTGCTATTGACATCATGTGGTCAACTGCAATTCGTAGTCATGTACAGGTATTTCGTGAGACTGTCACCATGCTACTTACGACTTCTGGGCTTACCTGTACATAGGCTGATTGCTTCTCCAGTATCAGGTCAGCAACCTTCTTGGACACCTGTTGGCAGGGCATTTATCATTAAAGCAGATGTGCACTGTAGAGGTATAATAATTCACACTCTAAGCAATCTCACACATTTTCACAATTCAGGATTACAATTTTATTTAACAAAAAAAAGTGTTACATTGTAGTGAATGGACTGACCCACTCGTTGCTGCAGGGGTCATTGATTAAAAAAGCAATTTGATGCATGTACCATTTGCCAAATAATTGATAATGATGACTTGATGCATCGTTGCACCTCTACTGTGTGGGAATAACATCAAGTGAGTAAGCAAGACAACATCACGTGACTGAACAGCACCAAAAATCAATGGCAACATGTTCTGTATGTAATCTCTGCACTTCACACCGATGACTGCATATGAAGAGCTGAATGCCATGAATTAATAAGTAATATTATTTTTTACTTTTTTTAAAAACACGCTTTTATTAAATGTACCGTACTAGCCATGGCAGAACTCCACGACTCCAGGAAGTGGCCCCGAAGCGTGCCACAACGTAAGGGGAACGTGGTGATTTACAACCAACGTCAGTTTACCGTGGACAATTAGAGCCAAGCCGAAACATAACATATAAAAAAGAATGTTTAAAAAAATATATTTTATTTTTTATGATAGAATATAGTATTGTCATCAGTATGACATCAGTATACCAAGTTTGCAGTCGACACCACATTGGGAAGTGGGTTACAATTGAGTTACAAGATTTGAGGATACAACAGAGTGAGTTAATAAAAAAGCGTGTAAAAAAAGGAAACAATTAAAAGTACTGTACTCTTGGTTCTTTCGGTAAAGTCACGCAGAAGGGAAACAATAAAATAATAAAAATATAAAACAATAAAATTCTCACGACGTTTCGACTGCAACACAAGCAATCATCATCAGGTGAGAAAACCACAACAATAAAATTTGAAAAAAAAAATTCTTGTTTGTGGTTTTCACACCTGATGATGATTGCTTGTGTTGCAGTCGAAACATCGTGCTAATTTTATTGTTTAATATTTTTATTATTTTATTGTTTCCCTTCTGCGTGACTTTACCGAAAGAACCGAGAATATGAATCCCTGCAGTCACGAAAGCTTTAAATCAAAATTTAAAGTAATGTACAGAAATAAAATGTTGATTTAATGCAGTGTCAATAGAAATTATCATTAAACACTGTACAGTCATTAATAAATAAGTATATAAACGCTACATATATGTATTACCTCTATGTACGGGTTCGCAGAAAGAATGGTATGATAAATCAATGTTAAAGAAAAGCAACTAATTAATTTAAACGCTCACTTGGCCACTTATTTAATTTTCATTTAAATTTTGCTGCTAGTGTTTCAAACTGCGTGTTTTTCAATCCATTACCTTTAGACGCTGCATATGAATGAACTGGACTTTTTGCTCACTCTGCTGGTTTACTTCTTGTACAAATATACTTTATATTTGCAAATTAAATATAGGTGAACTTTGAATATCTGCTTATCCTTTACATCTCTGGATTAAACCTATGGTAGAGACATATTTGATTTGACCACAAAGGAGAGAATGCCTCCTAAAGGGACATCATTCATGCCAAGGGTTTATTAAATGCAGCTTTCTACATGTAATAATTAACACATCCGGGTACAACTACACGAATTACTTCACACATCAACCACGCTGACACAAACACAGCACTTTGGCAAATCGGAATGGACAAATGGGATTTTGAAGGCTGGAGATAGACTGCACTGAGATAACAATGCACTGCTGAATGTGCCTTCTTGGACGATGTATGAACGTGCCTGTCACCGCTGTTAGAGCGGCATATCATGGACAGCTTGCCTCATTAACATGAAACTATAAATGACCGAGGAGGGAGGTTACACAATCACACCATATTGTAATTTGCATGATTAATTCACATCTCACATATCTCACCCATGTTGAGCAGTACAACCTAGGGTACAGTATTGATTCGATACTCAAGTGTGTGTTCCAGATGTAATGCGCTCAGTAGCAAACTGTCCATTGGGATACAAATGCATTAAGTCATTTTGCTCATTAAAAACAGAGCACACATTTGTATGCAAGTGTGTTGCAAGTATTAATTTTGTAATGGTACTATTGTAAATTCACTGTTATTTTCATGACTACCAAAAACAAAAATGCTTTGTTGCAATATCAAATAGAAAGTGAAAAGGTATTGTTGGTCAGATGCTTTCAATTGGTTCAGTGGATCTTGGGTTAATTGTATGCATGGGCGGGTAGAATTTTTTTAAATCATATTTTTTATAGCAGACATCTAGCCAATTGTATTTTATTTATAAAAAAAATATAAACAATTGCTCATTGACACTTAATGTTTGCAATTACTCAAAAGTAATGAAATAATAAATAAAGCACAAGCATCAGCACGTAATATAGCAACTGAAATAAACTAGGGCTGTTTTGCAAGCTGTGCAGATAATCACTGAACAACAAACTTTCTCTGTGCTCAATACATCCAACACTATTCCACGAGAAGCACTTCTCTCACCACCTTTGCTGGGCAAACATTTCATAGGCAAGGTAATGTGAGCACTCTGACCAGCAGTACCCTTGCCACTGCTGACAATAAGAAGCCAGAGCTTCCTCCTTTGTTCGCTGCCATGTGCGCTGCTGCACGGAACTAAGAGGGAGAGGGGCACGCAGGGGTGGGGGGGAGGGGGCCTCACCACTGCCTGCTGCCGCTTCAGCCTGTCCCGGTACTCCTCCAGCTCGGCCAGCTGCATCACCTCAGGCAGCTTCTGTTGGTCGCAGAGAATTGCATGGGCACGGCTCGGCCAAGCAGCAGTCATGGGCGGGGGTGGGGGAGGTGGGGGGCAGTCGAAAGGATGATGAGGTCAAAGGAATCGTGGAGTTGAGTGGAAAAATTGACTTTTATGCATTTAAAAAAAGTAAAAGAGAGATTTGATGAGGACAACAGAGTTCACTAAACAATTGCACGTATTTAGATTTAAAGCTTTCGTGACTGCAGTGATTCATATTCTTGGTTCTTTCGGTAAAGTCACGTTTCCCTTCAACGTGACTTTACCGAAAGAACCAAGAATATAATTGCACGTGTATTTGCAAAGCAAAATATCCATGCTGAAAGCAACAAACGTGGTAATCCACGGCAGTCGAATGTGTATATTAACGTTATTATGACCTATAGTAAATGAACACAAGCCCAAATGATGTGAATTAGTAAATAGTTGAACCATAAACTTCTAAGCAGCTTACATTTTAATTCAATATTACAAAGACATCAGGAGTGGGTTATTGTTAGGTGTAAGTTTGCTCCAACAAATAGATGGGCATTGATTTTTACGGCTGTCCTTGGAAAATTTTAATACTACACCTACCTTTCTTTGTGTTTTTCAGGAATGTATGTCTCTAAATGTCACCTTCATTAACAATATCATAAGAGCACCCACACGAAATGCTTAAAAGATATGGAAAAACCCCAGCAAAAAAGTATGTGCCAATCCGGCCCAATGCAGACAAGCATTCACACTTAATTAACAGAACTGCTTGTGTCATGCAATAATCTATTTTTACCAGAATTCAACTGAGCATGTGCGTTTTGTCGGGTGATTGCTACAAGCTGACTGCATGAGTTCTGGACTGTGCATGAAACCTAGTGGGGTGTATATCCTTAGGCGTGTATCCAACTTGTGGAGGCAACGCTGATTTATACACACTAAACATATCCACTGCATGAAAATTTAAACATATAAATACGTATTACAGGTGACGTTTTGGGCAATGGTCCATATTCATAGCACATATATTTAACGTTCAAGTTGTTTTTGTCCTGATTTCCATTTGCTTCATCGCTGTTATTTCATTGAATTTGTTTTGATTCTAGATTTGAAGTTTTCGTGACTGCAAGGATTCATACTCTTTGGTTTTTTCGGTAAAGTCACGTAGGTAAAAAATTAACAAAAAATTCAAGTATGAATTTGTTTTGCTTTGTCATTTTCGTGAACCGGCAACTCTTACAAAATATACTGTCCGGTTCGTTTGAGTTCTCACCTGGTTAAACAAAATAATCTCGACACATGAAACTCACAGTTTAACAGTACATAGCCAAAGTACCTCCAGCTCATATCGCACGGGGTCGAAGGCCTCATCGTCAAAGTAGACCTTCTCAATGCTGTCGATCACCTCCTGCTCTGCCTCGGGGTTACAAGGGGTATCTGGCAGCTCCTCCTGCCCACGTGCATGCACACACAATGAAACATCATCATACGTCTTTGTTTACCAGGAAAGTCGCACAGAGACTTGATAATTTTTTGAGGTTCTTGCATATGGATACCTGGTCAATTCTAATTCAGTAGTTAAATTCGATGGCTAGCCTTAAGAAAACACACATGATGGGACACCACTCAGAAACAAGTAGAGACAAGTCAGCAACTCGCTTGCTGTACTGCCCACATGCAGTACAGTGCGAAGACGCTGTGTGTAGAGTCCCTGAGTGCGAAGACGCTGTGTGTAGAGTCGCTGAGTGCGAAGACGCTGTGTGTAGAGTCGCTGAGTGTGAAGACGCTGTGTGTAGAGTCGCTGAGTGTGAAGACGCTGTGTGCGGAGTCGCTGAGTGCGAAGACGCTGTGTGCGGAGTCGCTGAGTGCGAAGACGCTGTGTGTAGAGTCGCTGAGTGTGAAGACGCTGTGTGTACAGTCGCTGAGTGCGAAGACGCTGTGTGTACAGTCGCTGAGTGTACAGTCGCTGAGTGCGAAGACGCTGTGTGTAGAGTAGCTGGGTGCAAAGATGCTGTGTGCGGAGTCGCTGGGTGCGAAGACGCTGTGTGTAGAGTCGCTGAGTGTGAAGACGCTGTGTGTAGAGTCGTTGAGTGTGAAGACGCTGTGTGTAGAGTCGCTGAGTGCGAAGATGCTGTGTGTAGAGTCGCTGGGTGCGAAGACGCTGTGTGCAGTCGCTGGGTGCGAAGACACTGTGTGTGGAGTCGCTGAGTGCGAAGACGCTGTGTGTGGAGTCGCTGAGTGCGAAGACGCTGTGTGTAGAGTCGCTGAGTGTGAAGACGCTGTGTGTAGAGTCGCTGAGGGCGAAGACGCTGTGTGTAGAGTCGCTGAGTGCGAAGACGCTGTGTGTAGAGTCGCTGAGTGTGAAGACGCTGTGTGAGGAGTCACTGGGTGCAAAGACGCTGTGTGCGGAGTCACTGGGTGCAAAGACACTGTGTGCGGAGTCACTGGGTGCAAAGACACTGTGTGTAGAGTCGCTGAGTGCGAAGACGCTGTGTGTAGAGTCGCTGAGTGCGAAGACGCTGTGTGCGGAGTCACTGGGTGCAAAGACACTGTGTGTAGAGTCGCTGAGTGCGAAGACGCTGTGTGAGGAGTCACTGGGTGCAAAGACGCTGTGTGTAGAGTCCCTGAGTGCGAAGACGCTGTGTGTAGAGTCGCTGGGTGCGAAGATGCAGTGTGTAGAGTCGCTAGGTGCGAAGACGCTGTGTGTACAGTCGCTGAGTGCGAAGACGCTGTGTGTAGAGTCCCTGAGTGCGAGGACGCTGTGTGTAGAGTCGCTGAGTGCGAAGACGCTGTGTGTAGAGTCGCTGGTCGCGAAGCTGCTGTGTGTGGCGTCGCTGAGTGTGAAGACGCTGTGTGCGGAGTCGCTGAGCGCGAAGACGCTGTGTGCGGAGTTGCTGAGTGCGAAGACGCTGTGTGCGGAGTCGCTGAGTACCAAGACGCTGTGTGTACAGTCGCTGAGTGCGAAGACGCTGTGTGTAGAGTCGCTGAGTGCGAAGACGCTGTGTGTAGAGTTGCTGGGTGCGAAGACGCTGTGTGTAGAGTCGCTGGGTGCGAAGACGCTGTGTGTAGAGTTGCTGGGTGTGAAGACGCTGTGTGTAGAGTCGCTGAGTGTGAAGACGCTGTGTGTAGAGTCGCTGGGCGCGAAGACGCTGTGTGTAGAGTCGCTGGGTGCGAAGACGCTGTGTGAAGAGTCGCTAGGTGCGAAGACGCTGTGTGTAGAGTTGCTGGGTGCGAAGACGCTGTGTGCAGTCGCTGAGTGCGAAGACGCTGTGTGAAGAGTCGCTAGGTGCGAAGACGCTGTGTGTAGAGTTGCTGGGTGCGAAGACGCTGTGTGTAGAGTCGCTGGGTGCGAAGACGCTGTGTGTAGAGTTGCTGGGTGTGAAGACGCTGTGTGTAGAGTCGCTGAGTGTGAAGACGCTGTGTGTAGAGTCGCTGGGCGCGAAGACGCTGTGTGTAGAGTCGCTGGGTGCGAAGACGCTGTGTGAAGAGTCGCTAGGTGCGAAGACGCCGTGTGTAGAGTTGCTGGGTGCGAAGACGCTGTGTGCAGTCGCTGAGTGCGAAGACGCTGTGTGAAGAGTCGCTAGGTGCGAAGACGCTGTGTGTACAGTCGCTGAGTGCGAAGACGCTGTGTGTAGAGTCGCTGAGTGCGAAGACGCTGTGTGAAGAGTCGCTAGGTGCGAAGACGCTGTGTGTACAGTCGCTGAGTGCGAAGACGCTGTGTGTAGAGTCGCTGAGTGCGAAGACGCTGTGTGTAGAGTCGCTGAGTGTGAAGACGCTGTGTGTAGAGTCGCTGAGTGCGAAGCCGCTGTGTGTAGAGTCGCTGGGTGCGAAGACGCTGTGTGTAGAGTCGCTGAGTGCGAAGACGCTGTGTGTAGAGTCGCTGGGTGCGAAGACGCTGTGTGTAGAGTCGCTGAGTGCGAAGACGCTGTGTGTAGAGTCGCTGAGTGCGAAGACACTGTGTGTAGAGTCGCTGAGTGTGAAGACGCTGTGTGTAGAGTTGCTGAGTGCGAAGACGCTGTGTGTAGAGTCGCCGAGTGCGAAGACGCTGTGTGTGGAGTCGCTGGGTGCAAAGACGCTGTGTGTAGAGTCGCTGAGTGCGAAGACGCTGTGTGTACAGTCGCTGAGTGCGAAGACGCTGTGTGTACAGTCGCTGGGTGCGAAGACGCTGTGTGTACAGTCGCTGATTGCGAAGACGCTGTGTGTACAGTCGCTGAGTGTACAGTCGCTGAGTGCGAAGACGCTGTGTGTAGAGTAGCTGGGTGCAAAGATGCTGTGTGTACAGTCGCTGTGTGCGGAGTCGCTGGGTGCGAAGACGCTGTGTGTAGAGTCGCTGAGTGCGAAGACGCTGTGTGTACAGTCGCTGAGTGTGAAGACGCTGTGTGTAGAGTCGCTGGTCGCGAAGCTGCTGTGTGCGGAGTCACTGAGTGCGAAGACGCTGTGTGTAGAGTCGCTGTGTGTAGAGTCGCTGAGTGTGAAGACGCTGTGTAGAGTCGCTGGGCGCGAAGCTGCTGTGTGCGTAGTCGCTGAGAGCAGAGCTGCTGAGTGCAGGATAAGTGAGGTGCAGGATAAGAGCGGGGAGAAGTTGAGTATATGTGACCGTACAGATAGTTATAGGTGTGCCTACAACTGGTGCAAGAACAGGTGAATAAAGTGTAAGCAGGTGACTTGTTACAATGTGTCGGTGAGAGTAATTTTTGAAGACACTACATATGTACCACCCAACTCAGCATTGTATGTGTGGATGGATCTGTATACATTGCAATGCAGAAACTTACATACATGATCAAGTTACATGTTAACAATGTGGAGTGATGTCAATACATGTTGTGTTGAAAAAATATATATGTAATAACCTGGGATGAAGGGAATTCAACAAAACAGATATCGTATATTTTTTTTATTTTAACTTAGCGTATTTTCCCGCATATAACCCGCAGGGTATACCAACTTTTACAAACAAAACAAGACCCTGTGGGGTATATGGAGGTACGGGATATCCCAAAAATATTTTACACGTGTGACATGCCATAACTCGTTTAATTTTTTCATGTTAGGACTATCCACTATGCAACACTTACCTTTGACTAAAGCACTGCTGAATAAACCACTCACACTAAAATTGCACATGCTATCACGTTTTAAATTATTCAAATTGTTTGTACAATGAAACGACAATGTTTGAAGTGGGCGCATTTTGTTTACCGTAATACTTTCAGTGCTGTAGGGGGGTGCGAATGTTTCAGCTGAGGCTATGGATAGCACAATGAGGAGGGCCTTAACAAGCATCTACCAAACGCGGAATCATAATTGCCAAGTCCCTTAGGCTGCTGCTATTGGCTGAGCACTACACAATCACGACCATGAACTTTGTTTCAAACTTCCAATGGCTTTGTTGCCAGGAGGCAATGGCATTACCGTAGTGCTGCTGTTGTATGCGCAGTGCGCAATCTACCAGTGCTAAAACTGTACAGGGGTAACTACCGGTCCAGTAGCTGTAATATGATGAGGTCGAATGCTGGTAAGCCTAACAGTACGCTTACTTATCTACCAGTTATGTGTTACTTATTTATTGGATATTTACTTTTGTTACTTATTTACTGCTTTAAGTTCACTCGTTTCCGGTTAGTTTGTTTTCTTTGTGCACGTTATGATTTTAATGTTAACAATTGATAGTGGAATGTATTACAAATGTAAACTTCGTATTTATATGATGGAATCAAGCTGCGGTAACGACGTTAAAGATATGAATGCAAGCGGGGTATATGACGATGCGGACTATCTGAAATGTTTTAAACAAAACGCTATTTTTGCGGGGTATATGCGTCTGCGGGTTATATGCGTGTGCGGGCTATATGCGGGAAAATACGGTAAATTGCTGGATATGCCATACAATTGAGAATAACAAAAATCCCCATTCATTTTAAGATGTGAAATAATGACAGCAATCCTCAAGTCATCAATTCCACGTGAATCACCACTCATTAAATATTCCTGGTGAGACAACAGCATCCTAAAGTAAATGGCCCTTGTATTATACAGATTTAAAACAGAGAAGAAGTGGGTACAGTAAAACCTTGGATTGCGAGTAACTTGGTCTGCGAGTGTTTTGCAAGACGAGCAATTTTTTTAAAATAAATATTAACTTGATAAACGAGCGAGGTCTTGCAATACGAGTAGTAGTACGTATACGCTTGTCTGCCGAGCGTCACGTGACCACAAGTGAGCCGATGGTTCTTCTCTCTCTCTCGCTGCGGGATTGTGGGTAATCGTCTCCCATGCTCAGTCTCAGTCGGCGTGCCTCACTCGTATAGCCAACATCCGTGCGAGCGTATACTGTTTACTATAGTGTTGTGACCATGTGTGTGTGCGTAAAGCATTTTTTTATTTTGTGTCCAAGTGTAGTGACCGTTCTTTAGTCAATGTACTGTAACAATGGCCCGACAATGCAATGTCACATTTCCGCGAAATCCTCAAACAGGTAGCACAGATAGCAGTGATTCCGTTAGTCGTCCTACACAATAACCCTCCTCCTCCTCTCCTCTCTCTCGTCCCCCTCACACCAGCCACGATTAAATTTAATTAATGAATTTGATTACTTTATATTAAATTAAAATAATAAAATATAAAAAGGTATTTTGTATTTATCTTTTTTTATATGAATACTTTTGGGTTGTGGAACGAATCATCCGAGTTTCCATTATTTCTTATGGGGAAATTCGCTTTGATATACGAGTGCTTTGGATTACAAACACGTTTCTGGAACGAATTATGCTCGCAATCCAAGGTTTTACTGTATTTAATTTTGAACTAAGAGTAAAGACCTACTTCTTGGCAATGTAACATTTGATTGCATCTCCTTCACAAGCTAATACATATCGTCTATATGCACTCACATTTGGGTTTTAAGGTTTGCTGCATTAAAAAGTGAGAAAGTCAAAAAGACACGAGTTCATCTTTTCTTCAGTTGATATCTATTCATTAAAGGTCTTGCACATTTTCAAATGATGAAGCATTTCATTCATTCCCTGTCCAAACATATATCACCATCTGTATTGTCCGACAATGGTTGTGTGTCAGCTTGAGTTATGCCCTTAACTTCTCAATAAGCCAAAAAAACTGTACTGCACTGCTGCTAAATTCATTAAATGAAAGCAGAGCTTAATGTGTATTTGAAGACATACCAACTATTAAATTAAAAAAATATAAGCATATCAAGGAATCGAATCGCTCATTAAGTTGCCAAAATTGGACAATATAATACAAGTAAATATATCATGCAAACCATTAAAGCTACAAAAAAAGATTTAATTTTTTGGAGAATGTTGCAAGTATAAGCAGTCATGATCATATATTTTCCCAGGTGGTTATGGATGGTGATATGACTGATTTGGGGAAAAACTCATGCATGTGTACCCATGTAGTGTATGCCACTATGTATGAGCGTATACTGTACTTAACTATACTCCGAAGGCCTCATTACATTTGGAAGCACAGCAGGGTTTTTTCAGCGTTCATATTGGTAGGAGCTCACATGCAGCCTCAAGGTCAGAGTTGCATGCTTGATACTTTTCCTGCATTCCGAGTTTGCAGGTTTGAGAGCAATAGTAATTTGACCTGCTCTTACAGCAAATTTAAAGAATTGTAAACTCGTTTTCTTGGTGTTTTAGGTTATTTTTTGCTTTGATAAACACCATTTGAGTAAATATTTCATATCTGTTATGATTAACACATGTGTAACCAATGCGTTTTCTATAGGGAACACAACAACCTTTCAGTGAGTAAGCTGGTTCATTTGCAAGTGGGGGAAAAAAAATGTTATAAAAGCAGTATGTGACATTAATGCATCAAAACAAGCACCATGCAGGCTTCTGTAAAAATGCTCTGAAGATGCACATTCACGGCTGTACATTGCTCTTTGAAATGCAAATACAAAACACAAAATGCAGCCAATTTTGGGCTTTGATTAAAAGGCAATTGAATAATTTGGCGGGACCCCGGGGTCCTGCAAAAATCAGGTCAATAATTATTATTATTGTTGTTGTTCAGTGTGCCCCACTACGTGACCCCGACAGTAACGCGCCGCCCGCCCAGACTCGCACCAACAAGCGCCAGCAGCAGCAGCAGCGGGCGGCGATGGACACGATGGGCGCCACCCCACCGGGCAAACGCGAGCCCCGGAGGGCGTCCGCCGCAGTCGTGAGCGGCGACGACGCCCTCCGGTCAGCCGTCGATCCTCAGCTTCTTTGCCAGGGCGAGCCCGCCCCCCCAGGCAGTGAATTGAACGTGTTTATGTAATTTTTCAACTTTTACGAAACTTAATGTCCCCGAGTAGCTCTCGACGAGGCCAATCGATTGACCACTAGTTTTGTTGTCGGTAGGGTAAGACTCGTGTCGCTACGCGGTTTTTCCCACCCCGGGGGAGTGATGGGACCCCGGGGTCCCACCAATTGCTTCAATTGTTAAGCTCGCAATCCAATCTGAGAGAGGATAAGGATTGGCTGATGTGCAGCCATGGGGAAAATCTTATTTCACGAACTTGATCAAATGTTTAACAAATCACAATGGCAGAAAGTAAACCAAGTATACTGCACGTTCACTAAAATCGCTTCGTTGAATGTTAAATGGAAATACATAAGATGAAGCCAACTCCAACATTTCAACACCATAATGGGGAAAAGTGTTCCTTGGGTGGGTCTGTTAATCTTACAAATCAAAGTAGTCCTTTGATATTAAATGTATATATTAAAAAAAGCATATGCTGTTTTCTAAGATGAAAATGTGCATGCCCTTAAATGAATGCAGAGGCTTTTACTACAACAGAAATAAATAAAGTTTTGTTTTTTCAGGAGAGATGGAAACTCACTAACCTTGTGTGGAGTCTTCGGAGGTTCATGTTGTGATGCACTTTCACTCAAATTCTCAGAAAAACTCTTGGAGACCTAATTAGAAAAAAATAAACAATACATGTTATAGATTTTGAACAGGCTTTGCACAATCTCATAACACACATATATAAAATAAATATTACATAAAAGTCAATATTTTTTCACATAGATATTGGGTGGTAAGCGAATCAGTCGTGTGTACGTTCTCTCAGCTGTCGGGGCCCTACAGATTTCTTCAGTTCTTTCAGGCTAAGTTCTATTCAGATTTTAAAAGACGTCCAACCCATTTGACATTCATTTGTGAACTAGGCAAAGAGTACGACTGCATGTTTCTGTTATAAATGTATGTGGAACGATGGACCGTTGTATGGCCCAAATGCACATTTCTGGCCAGGAAACGTGTTAAAGAAACAATAAAATATCTTCATAATAAAGGTTTTTGGGTTACATCGCGTTATTTATAAATGTGTCGCAACCCTCCACCACCCGACACGGCTAATCAGCAAAATAAAGTGTCACGTTGACAAAAGACTATTAAAGAACTGAAATGATTTATCAAATCTTTCCAATGATTGCTAAGATAGAATTCATCTTCTCGGTTGAAATTGTCTCTGTGCTTGTATATGTGGATAGCCTCATGAACGAATCTCTCATGGAAGCCAGATGGCTTACAAAGAACCTCTGTCTTGGAAAAGTCAATGGCATGTGAGCCTACTGAATTAGAACAATGATCTGCTACGGCCGAGGTGTTGGTCCTACCGTGTTTAAGGTCTGCTTTGTGTTCACGAATGCGGTCCGAGACATGGCGTTTGGTTTCTCCAATGTAACTACTACCACAGAGGCAACTTAGTTTGTAGACACCAGGGTATTGTATGTCCGGAATCACATCTTTTACAGACGGAACCAGATCACGGATTTTATGTAATGTGTTGAAACGGACCTGGATCTTGTGTTTATTCAAGATTTTGGAGATCTTTTTTGTGATCCCAGCAATGTAGGGTAAAGTGATGGTTTTGAAAGGCTCCTCAAGAGGGTTCTTCTTCATGGTTTGAGTGATAGCTTTGCGGATTGTATAGTCGGAGTAACCATTAGCCCTAAGAGCTTGGTGTACGTGCTTGAGTTCACTGCTTATGTGTTCCTGGTCGGATATGCATTGGGCTCTATGATACAGAGTCTTGATGAGAGAATTCTTCTGTGATGGATGGTGGTGGGAATCCGGTTTCAGATAAGCATCCGTATGGGTAGCTTTCCTGTAGACAGAGTGGCTCATTGAACCATCAGGTCTCTTTTTAATTAGGACATCCAAAAAAGGTATCTTGCCATCTATTTTGACTTCCATGGTAAATCTGATGGCTGGGTGTATGGAATTGATGTGGTCGAAGAATTGGTCTAGAGCAGGCCGGCCATGTGGCCAGATGACAAAAGTGTCATCCACGTACCTCTTCCATAAGGTTGGGCGCAGAGTGGCAGTCTGGATGGCGTCAGTCTCAAATTTCTCCATGAAAATATTAGCTATAACTGGAGAAAAGGGGGAGCCCATTGGGGTGCCCTCAGTTTGTTTGTAGAAAGTTCCATTCCAAGTGAAGTATGTATTGGTTAAACAGTGTCTCACCAGGGGGGGTACCTCAGTGTTTAGTCCTTGATGAACCAAGTCTTCAATGATTGCAATGGTGTCAGGTACAGGAACCTTGGTGAATAAGGAAACTACATCAAAACTGACAAGCAGGTCGTCTGGGGACAGAGAAATACCCTTGATTGTCGATACCAGGTGAGTAGAATTTTGTACCGCAGAGGTGGTCTTTCCAGTGAAAGGACGCAGGATTTCAGACAAAAAACGAGCTAGTTTGTAGGTGGGGGAGCTGATAGTAGAGACTATGGGACGAAGAGGTGTATCTACTTTATGTATTTTTGGTAAGCCGTATAATCTTGGTGGCCTGGCAGCAGAAGGTTTCAACGAAAACTGTTTAGATTGATCAATTAATGCGGTTGAATCAGAAATTATTTTGTTGGTTTGTGTGACGAGGCTGTTGGTGGGATCTCTTTTTATTTTTGTATAACTACCATCGTCGAGTAATTCTTTAATTTTTTGTTGTATTCTATTTTATCCATGATGACAGTAGCATTGCCTTTGTCAGCTGAGAGGACTACAATATCATTCCTCTTTTTTAATTTATATAATTCAAAACGCTCATCTTTGCTGAGGTTGCTAGCTGGCATCTTAGCGTTTTTGAGGGTTGCAGCGATTTCAGATCTTGCTACGTCTGCAGCGATGTGACCCAGGCCCCTGAGAGCAACGTCTACTTGGGCAATTATATCATTAACTGGTATGTGTTTAGGTGTGACTGCAAAGTTTAGACCTTTAGCTAAAACGGATTTCAGACCATCGGAAATAGAACTGTTACTGCGATTAATTACGACTTTATTAACGTCTAACTTTTTGGTGTGTGGGTCCGGTCTTTTGTTGAAGAGGAGGTTAAATTTGGAAATCAGGTTTTCCTTACATTTGGTCGACATAGTAGCAACTGAAGAGGCAGTCATATTGTCTACATGTTCCCAATCCGATTAGTACATTATTGCAGTCAATGCTAAGTGTGATTTGTAGAGTGTCTTGTCTAACTGATCTAGTTCTGTGCGTATAAGTCTGTAAGCCATCTGGCTTCCATGAGAGATTCGTTCATGAGGCTATCCACATATACATGACCGTTTGAGTTATGGTCGAAACGTCGTGAGAATTTTTTATTGTTTAATATATATTTTATTATTTTGTTGTTTCTCTTCAACGTGACTTTACCGAAAAAACTAAGAATATGAATTACTGCAGTCACGAAAGCTTTAAATCATTGACTGATTACCAATCGATTATATAATTACAATACCCCCCCTCCCCCACTGCGCCTCTAATCACTGCACCAGATTGGGTTAAATGATGACGTCACCCTGCTGCTCTATTTAAGACCGGGAGCAAATGAGGGCTTTACCATTCTGGCGAATTGCCCGATGATGCTGGATGTAATTACCAGCGAAACGTCGTATTCAAACAGTAAATGTTGTGGATTCACTCTTCAACACACCGGTGGGCTAAAGTAGTGAATTACTTGTCTTTTGTCAACGTGACTCTTTATTTTGCTGATTAGCCGTGTCGGGTGGTGGGGGGTTACGACACATTTATAAATAACGCGATCTAACCCAAAAACCTTTATTATGAATAATATTGGTCGCAAAAGCCTACGTGTTAAACTGAATAAAATATCTTGTAAAACCTAGCTTTAAAAATTGCTTAATCACCTTCCTTGCAAACAAAAGCTAGCGTAATCTCCATAATTCATCCAACAGGTGTGTGCACTTAACTGTACGAATATACCACGACTGCAGTCATAACGTAACGCTGTTCGTAGAAGGCTTATTGTAGAAATTCTAGAAAAACTACAATGACACCATACTCTTTGGTTATTTCGGTAAAGTCACGTTGAAAGAAAAATAATTAAATAATAGAATACGCCGTTTCGATTGCAACACAAGGAATCATCATCAGGTACGAATGAATGAGATAAAACAAACCTAGTAAACTTAGAAATGTAATGCAATACAACACAGAGAGTCGGCTAACATAACAGGCAGCACCCTACCTGGTTGATTAACGTTCTTCCAAAGATTGCTGAATTTGAGAGAGAGACAAAACACAGACACGGAGACACACAGACAGACACACAAGCAGAGAGAGACAACACAGAGACACAGAGAGAGAGAAAACTAACTTACATCCTCCCCGTAGAGGTGGTCTAAACTTGATTTGGAGCTTTCGTGACTGTAGGAATAACGTTTTGCTTCTTTTGGTAAAGTAGAAAGACGTGACTTTACCGAAAGAACCAAAAAGTGATTCCTGCATATTGTTGGTTCATTCGGTAAAGTCACAGAGAAGGGAAACAATAAAATAATAAAAGTATTGTTTATATTTTTATTATTTTATTGTTTCCCTCCTACGTGACTTTACTGAAAGAACCAAAAAGTTATTCCTGCATATTCTTGGTTCATTCGGTAAAGTCATGTAGAAGGGAAACAATAAAATAGTAAAAATATTCATATTCTTAGTTTTTTCGGTAAAGTCACGTTGAAGAGAAACAACAAAATAATAAAATATTGTTTTATATTTTTAGGGAAACAATAAAATAATAAAAATATTGTTTTATATTTTTATTATTTTATTGTTTCCCTTCTACGTGACTTTACCGAAAAAACCAAAAAGTTATTCCTGCATATTATTGGTTCTTTCGGTAAAGTCACGTAGAAGGGAAACAATAAAATAATACAAATATAAAACAATATTTGTATTATTTTATTGTTTCCCTTCTACGTGACAAGCAGAGAGAGACAACACAGAAGGGAAACAATAAAATAATACAAATATAAAACAATATTTGTATTATTTTATTGTTTCCCTTCTACGTGACTTTACCAAAAGAACCAAGAAGATGAATCCCAGCAGTCACGAAAGCTTTCAATCAAAAGTTATTCCTGCAGTCACGAAAGCTCCAAATCAAGTTTAGACCACCTCTACGGGGAGGATGTAAGTTAGTTTTCTCTCTCTCTCTGTGTCTCTGTGTTGTCTCTCTCTGCTTGTGTGTCTGTCTGTGTCTCCGTGTCTGTGTTTTGTCTCTCTCTCAAATTCAGCAATCTTTGTAAGAACGTAATCAACCAGGTAGGGTGTTCCCTGTTGTGTTAGCCGACTCTCTGTGTTGTATTGCATTATATTTCTAAGTTTACTAGGTTTGTTTTTCGCACTCATTAGTACCTGATGATGATTGCTTGTGTTGCAATCGAAACGTCGTATTCTATTATTAATTAAATTTTCTTTCTCCGTGACTTTACCAAAAGAACCAAAAAGTAATTCCTGCAGTTACGAAAGGTTTTTTACAATGATACCGTTTCACTTAACCACTCTATAAAATCAGTTGCTGGAATTGGTTGTATGATTGACAGCAGAATTGTCTGGCATTGAAGTAAAAATTGAGGCCTATGGAGGAAATATTCATGAAAACGTGTCCATTGGTTGAGCT